GTGGGTACCCCCCCCCCCCCCCCCAACCCCCACAGATTCTGGTTCTTCCCCGGGGAAAGGTAGCCTTGTGGGGGCGAAACCCGGGCACATCGTTCCGTCCCACCGGCCATTGCAGGGAGCCAAGGTAAATGGTCTACGACACCGGCCCGCGTTTCCAGGAGTCCCCCCCCCCCCCCCCCCGCGTTGTTTTCTCTTCCCCGGTGCCCCCTCGGTATCTATCCAGTACGGCGACAAGCACTTCTTCGAGCAAATCCACATGGCGCTATTCCTGGCGGCGTTATTGCACACCTTTTTTGTCGGGGTGGTGGCCCTGTACGCGAGGCAGATCAACCGCCGCTGGGACATATTCGAGGACGATGAGATGCGCAGGTACGTTGGGTGGCTGGCCGTGGGCGCGCGCGCTTCGCCATGTCTTTTGTTCCTGTTTGATGCCTCTGGATGGGTTTGGTGCTCTATTTTTAACGGGGGATGTGCTGGTGCTACTCCTACCGTGATGATCGATGGAATTTGTTTCTTCCACAACTGAGTTTTGTGTTGTGTTGTGTTGTGATGGTCGATGTAATCTCTTCTTCCCTAGACTAAGTTGTTGTTGTTGTCGTCGTCGTTGTTGTTGTTGATGTTGTTGTTGTCGTCGCCGTTGTTGTTGTTGTCGTCGTCGTTGTTATTGTTGTTGTTGTTGTTGTTGTGTTACCGTCGTTTTCGTCCTTGTGCTAACGCTGTGGTTGTCGTCGACGTTTATGATCCTTGTTTCTTTTATGCGCTATTGCCATCGTCTTCGTCGCCGTTGTTGCTCGTCCTTACCTCTCCTACACCCTCCTCTCCCTCCTCTCCCCTCCTCTCCCCTCCTCTCTCCTCTCCTCTCCTCTCCCCTCCTCTCCCCTCCTCTCCCCTCCTTTCCCCTCCTCTCCCCTCCTCTCCCCTCCTCTCCCCTCCTCTCCCCTCCTCTCCCCTCCTCTCCCCTCCTCTCCCCTCCTCTCTCCCCTCCGTTCGGGGGACGGCAGGTACAAAGACCTCAAGCAGCAGCACCGCCGCACTGCGCAGAAGCTTGGCATCCGGCAAGCCGACCTCAAGTACGGCATCGGGACGTGGCGTGCGGTACGTGCACGTGGTTCGGCATGCATGCAAACGCACACGTGCCGTGCACATCATTACGACACTCGGGGCAGTACACATGCTAAGCGTAGGGCCACGGGTCTGGGTCTGTCTGGCCGTATTGGCACCGACGCAAGAAGAGAGCCATATATCAACGCAGGCGCCGGTTGCCGTGCTTTCGCCGTCTGTCCCAGCTGCAGTCCCCCTTGCCGTAGGAAAGCGGGTTTGCGAGCTGGATACTCGTTCGCCCGAGAGTTTCGTTTGACGACGCACTCACCATGCTCCACCGTCACGCATGGGAACTGAATAGGCTACAGCAATAACTACACTTCAAGCCTCCACGCTAAGCGTGCAAGTAGGTGTTGTTGTTGTTGTTGACGTCGCATTAGAAACCGTCCTGGCATCCGGTCAGTACCGCTACCTAAGAAGCCGAAACTTCTCCAGAATCCCGCCGTCCCCTATCACTCTTCGACGGTCTTGGATGCCGCCACTGCCTCTTTGTTTGGTTGGTTCTCGCCCGCTCGCTCGTGCGTGAACGCCTCTTTTTTTTTTTCTTATGGCAGGCGTGGCTGACGGTACGACACCCCATCCTCTTCCGCCGGCTGTCGGAGCTGTCCGAGCACGTGGGGTACCACGCCATCCGAGCGCAGTTCATCAAGTCCAACCAGCTACCCAAGTGAGAGAGCCGCCGATACCCTGGGGCAGGAGAAACGTGAAGCGGCACAATGAAAACGCCGTGGCTTTTTTTGTGGTGTTCTTTTGGAGCTCAGTGGAATCCGAATGGTAAATATATATATATATATATATTTTTTTTGCCGGTTGCTCGCGGTATGTTTTTTTCTTTTTGACCACACACAGCACAACATTGGCAGATGATTTGCGTGTTCGAGAAAGGTGCTCGGATATGGGTTAGGGTTTGATGATACGTTGGCCGTGTGTGATTGTCGGTGCAGTTTAGTGTGGTACAGTATCGGGTTGGTGTCTCGTGTTCACCCAAAGCGAGGAAAATCTCGTGGTTCTTTCTCAGTCGACACATATCCTCGTCGAACCGTGTGCTACTCGCTATAACAGCCCCCCACCATGCCGAATTTTGTTTTTGTTTTTCCTCTTGCACACCAGGAACTTCCGGTTCGCGTCCTACCTGACCAAGTGCGAGCAGTCGGTGGTGTTGGAGCTGGCCGGGGTCAAGGAGGGCGTGTGGGTGGCCCTCATCCTCTTCGTCGGCGCCGAGCTGTTCGTCAAGGGCATACTCGGGAAGGCCGAGTCGAGCGAGGTGGGGATGACCCGCCGCAACCGCCGTTGTGGCGATGGGCTGACTGCCAACGCGAAGAAATCCAGCTTTTCCCATGGAATAGAGAGGCAGGGGTTACGTTCAACCCAACCGAAACACTACTTTGTCAAATGCGTTTGCTCAATGAAGACCTGCGTGGGGCTACTGGTGGGGATACCGCTGTACAGGGCTTTTTTTGTTTTTTTGCAATGAATGGTGGTGTTCCGCCGCCGCACCTCTTGTGCGCATTGAATCTTCCTTTTGCGTCAAATGACTCCAGCGGTAGATATTGTTGGGGATTTGTTCGCATCGTTTTCGCATGGGTAAGTAGCAGGTGCTTGATCTTGAAATCGTAGGATTGGAATGAACCTCATATTGATTTCTTAGGAGTGGAATGAGCGAACAAGGTTTCGTTTGTGGAAAAAAAAGCCAGGAGACACATGTACCAGTAGATAGTAGCCCCGAAATGACTATTTTTGTCTACGATAACACGTGTTGTTTGTTGCCTTTGTTTTTTTTTCTTTCTTTTCTTGTGTGCATTGCGTTTTGAAGGCGGCTATGATAGCACTCTGCCGCTGAGCCTCATCGTCAGTCTTCGAGGGTGACACTGCTTGTTCGCTCAATTCATGACAGTGCATGAGAAGAGATGAACGTTGTTTTCAGATAGCAGTGCTGCGGCGCCCTGGTAGCATCGTGTTTCTTTTGTCAGCCCCCGCCTCTGGTTGCACGGTACGGACAACATGGTTGGTGGTGTCAATTTTTTTCCAACCAAGTCCTTACTTGCCCTCTCCTTTCTGCTGCCGCATCGTCCCTGTAATGTTTCGATCGTGTGTTTTTTATCCCGAAAACAACAGGATGTGAAGCCAATCTTCATCACCGGCACGGTTATCGTCATGCTGGCAGCCATCGCGGTGCACCTCAAGCTCAGGTCCATCTACTACGACATGATCCGCTCTTACCAGGCCAGGCAAGAAAAAAAGGGGAAAAAAACGCAGAGAAATGCGGGTTAACTTTTGGTGGTCTCCTCGATCCTCGGAAATAATTCCCGCAAGGGTTGGGGTGCTGATTTCCCGCCCACCCGCAAGTGTGGGTCTGTGGTGGCTGTTGCTTTTTTTTATGTTTTTTGTTGTTGTACTCCCGTTGGCGAGCTGCAAAGTCATGGTACATATTTTCCCATGCTGCAGTTTGTTTCCCTTGCGTTATACCGGGTGGCGAAGAACGCCTACATTCTGCACCACGCAGGTACACATCTCCCTCCATGTGCGGTGACTCACGGCCGTGTGCTGCCCCATGTTGGACTCTTGTCAAACGGCGTTGTGATGTGCTCACCCGCGGCGGTTTCTTGGCGCACCTCTAACCGACCAGTTGTCCGCGTTTACGCTACCACACAACCGTGCGCCTCCCGCCCGACACTCATGGCCTGTTTCTTCCCAATTTATGCTCTTTGCTGCCGCGGCTGCTGCTGCTGCTGCTGCCAATCCCGGCTTATGCTCTTTGATGGTGCGGCTGCTGCTGCTGCTACAACGATATCCACAACCATGCCGACGCTGACACCCCACAAACTCGAAACTCACGTGACCACGGAACGGTGCCGGGCCGTTACCGCCGCTGCCTGCCACGAACGACATCCCTCGGGTCTGGCTTCAACCGTTGCAGCACGGAGAGAAGAGACGACTTGATGCAGTTCGTCGGACCCGGCACGTCTAACACCATGGTGAGACACACACACATGCTATTCTGAAGGCCGTACGTGTGAGAACACAAACAACGTTTTACGTGCCACTTTGCAAGTATTTTTCTTCACGAAGGATCGACCCCATATGTTAGCATCGACCTGGATCTCCATGTCCCTCTCGTGCAGGGGCCGCGTGAGCCCTCGATGCGTTTCGGATGTATACAGTACATTGGTTTTCCCTGTGTGTGGAGGGGTTGCCCTGCCCGCGAGAGACGGGCAAATGCGACCGAAAAATACTACTGGTACTAGTTTTTTATTCGTTGGGATTGTCTTCATTTGTTGTTCTTCCTATACCGCCGAGGAGACAGAGAGGAAGAGCGAGGGGGGGGGGGCGTTCTACAACACCTGGCGGAGCACTGTCCAGCAGACAAGCTTGGTTTCTGCCGAACGTGTAGCATGCTTGGTTTGATCCGTAAAATTGTAGGTGCTGAAGTAGAAACGAGGGCTTCGCGGCTGCCTGCCCGATTGCGTCCTGGAAGCATCCAACCTTAAGACACGTGTTTGAAATATTTTCTCCGACGTCCACTCGCTGACAGAAAACAGCAGCAGCAGAACACCAACACGTGTGGCCGACAAAACAAGTACAAAGTATCATCGATCGATGGACACGTGCCAATCATTGCCGTGTGTCGTGTGATCCGCCCCCAACCGTCGCTTGAAGCACCGCAAACCAGTCGCCGTTGTGACTACCCAGAAGTCACACCGGAGAAAATTTCGGTATGGTGTGGGGTTGTTGTTGCTGGTCGGCCATGTGAATCCGTGCCTTCCGACCCTGCAGTCTGAGTGTCGCTCCGTTAAGCGTTTCTGCTCTCGCAGAGAGGGAATGGGAAGGGGATTCCCTCTCCGAGCTGTCGTACTTTCGTTCTATCATGGTACGGTAGTTGCAAGGAGAAACCACGAATTGGATTTCCTACCCGGCACAAATACGGCTTGTGACCGCTGACTTGAAAGCCATGAAAAAAAATCAAAACGGAAGCCGGGGACCCGTGGAATATATTTAATCTAGTCTCTCGCTTGACGTTTGCCTCCTCAATCGCAGCGCCAGAAGTCGCTGTTCTGGTTCAGCAGACCAGGGCTGATGCTGGTGACCCTCCAGTCAATGCAGTTCCTCCTCGCGATCATGGTCGGAGCACTCATCTGGTGAGAAAAAACCGTCCATTTTTCTGGGCTGGAACGTTCCATGAAACATGTCGAGAAGTTCCTGGTTGTCGATACAATCAATATACGTTACGAAAGTTTGGACCTATCTAATGTGTTGTCGTTGGGACGGATGTGCTGGGTCGACTGACAACGTGTGCAGAGCGTTTCGAGACACTGTTTTAAACTTTCGTGGGATGGGAGGCGTAGGTCGACGTTAGGGTTGGGAGTGGGGTGCGTCCTCGTCGTGCAGGTGGTGGGACAAGCGGTAGCGTCGTGGACATTGTTGGTGACGACAAAAGCAGACAGCGTCTATGGTGGGATGGCGCACCGTCCTGGCGGACTCAGCGTCTGGTCTGCTTCTGTTCAACAATATTGCTATGTATCGCCGACACGGGCTTGCGGCCTAACGAGGAAGAAGCGGGGACCGCCCTGCCTAGGTGGATTTCTTCTTCACTGCCGATCGTTCCTGCTGTCTTTTTGTGCGGTTGGCACGTCCCCCATCACCTTTAAGCTCCCCCCTGAGCACTGCGCGATTCCAGGGGAGCGATGGTCCCGAATGGTAGCGTCGGTGTTCACTACCCACCGACCCAATTTCCAACGTTGACGAGAGGATTGCCCTCGAAGGTATTGCTTTGCTGTGACCGCACGCAGCTGTCCCCTTGGAGGCCAGGGTAACCTGTTTTTTTTGTTGCTGTTGCTTATTCTGCTGTCGTCTTCGTCGTCGTTGCTGCTGCTGCTGCTGCTGCTGCTGTCGCTGTCATCGTTGTTGCCGCTGGTGCCGCTGTTGTTGCTGCCGCTGCTGCGCACACGCAGGTTCGGCAGCACGGACAGCACCGGCTTGATGATCCTGGCGGAGGTCTTCCTTGGGGTCGGCGCGTTCGGCATCTACACCATCGTCCTACCAAAGTTCATCCCCAAGTACACAACGGTGTGTGTCTGCTGTGCTTAAGAGTCTAGCCTATGGTCCTGTGCGCGGGGCTTAGGGAAAGCTCTTTTGGTTGTTTGAGGGAGCGTTTTCTCATGGCTTGAGAGGAAATCGAGCAGCGATGAGAGGCCGGGGGGGGGGGCGTGGTATGCCTCTCTCTTCGTATACCGAGCATCTGCATGTTTGTTTTTCCTTTTCAAAAACAGTACAAACAAAAGCAATACAAACTCTTTTCGTACCCGCAAGGACGGGATCCACGATACAAGCAGCAATTCGTTGATGGTTGTGGCGTGTGACCTTCCGTTGGGCCTTCTTTTATTCTCCGAGCATCATACATCAGTAGCGAAGATGTTTCGGATGACCGGGACGGAGAAATACATCTGAGTCGTGCATGCACGATATCGAGGCGGATACCAGGGCTTCAAGAACAGTTCAAGACACGAAACATACTCTTGTCGGTAGTGCCCTTCCTGTTTCTAGACAAGAAACCCTCACTGGCTGTTCCGCGCGTGCTGATCTTTGTTTCGCTCGGTCCGTTCAGGTCACGCACGTTGGCGCCATGGTGAACCGGCACATTCTGAGCGAATGTCTGGTGAAGCAGAAGAGAGCCTTCCAGCACCGTGCTCTGCCACCGACCCTCCGTCAGGTGACTTGATGCCAAAAACGATCCAGAAACGATACTGAACATGTGGAAATCGATGGTTGTTTTAGCTGGTGGTCCACGTCCCAATCGTTCGGGCGGCGTTTGCTGCGGTGTTGATTGGTTCCTGCACATGTTGGCTCGCACCGATTGCTTATTTGTCTCTTTGCTGTCATCTCGTGTACGAGTGTTTCACGTGTTTGAGTGCTGCTTCGCTGGCGTTATATTCTCTCCCTTCCCCCCTGCCAACAGCACAGAGGTAAGAATTAATCCATTTGATCGACACGCTAGAGGCTGCACCACAGATGAAACAAGACGCCCCATCCGCCCGGAAACATGTTATCTTACCCTCGCGATTGTTGCACCGAACATGCAGAGAGCTGCAAAGTTATCGACCAAGCACGTCCCGTGCGAGCGCGCGTGCTGAGCGGCAGGTTCCAACACCGGCCATAGGCCGTTGCGTGATGACCCCTTTGCCGATACCCCCCATCCGCCACAGGCTTACCCCTCCATCCAATGCCTCTACAGTCAAAGGCGTTTTCCACAAGCCCCGCGCATCACTACCCTCCTGTTGCTAATCTTCGCCGTTGTAACGGAACGTCTTTTGCGGCGGGACCTGTGCCCCGTCGTGCCGACTGGGTGTTCATGTGTATCTCAGGTGTCAGTGATGGCTCGCATGCAGGCCAATTACAAGGGCGAGAACGGCAGGGTCTTGACTTTCCTCAGGAAGCTCATGTCCGGGCATGCTTGGCGCGAGTTCATGCAGGTACCACCGCGCCCTCCCCCGCCCCCCCCGCTCGGTCTTCCGGGAGTTAGTTTATTCGGTATCGTTGCGGGGAATTCCCGAAGTCAGCCAAAGCTATGTGCACGGTAGGGAAGACTCTCCGACGTTTTTTTATGCCGGTTCAGGTCGTGACTATAATCCGGCACTGCTTCTTACCGCCGTCGGTCGTCGACTACGCAAGCGTGGTGGCCGTTTTTTGCTTTTGCTTCGGCGCTTGTCCTTCTGCCCATTCCAGGAACACAAACGCTGAAACTTGCTGATCATCCCGTGTGCTGTCGTCATGTCCCATGCGTCCTTTTGTCGCTTGGGATTTTTTCGTTTCGCCAAGGTTCTGGTGACGGTTCACTTCTTCGTCGTGGCGTACAACAACGACCCTGTCAGGAGCGGCGTGGACACCACGCAGACGCTTTTGGCCGAGGTTACCCTTGGATGTGAGTAGTCTGACCGCAAGATAGGGTTTAGAGCGTAATACTTGGAACCAATTACACATGTAAGTTCTAGTTCTGCCACACCAGCACTTTACACAACGAACGGTCACACAGAATAACCTAACGGGGATGGATGTATAATGTTGGATTCAATATGCCTAGTGTAATGTCGAAGTGCCCGTCGCTAGCGATGGCGTTACCAGACTAGGAAAGCTTCGGAGATGGCTAACTTCTCGCGAGAACCCGCGAGAGCCCGCGCCGTTTCTCTTTTCGCCGTTGTTGTACCGAGCGAGTCATACTTTGCACGGAAACTTGTGCTGAAGACAAAGTCGTGGCTCTTACAGCTATCTGCGATGCTACCGTTCTCAATCTGGCGAGAGTGAATAGTCTATTTCGTAGTGCCCTTGTCGTACCACATACGGGATAGCGGAAGAACCAACGTATTGCGATCGAACGGGACAAAACACAGAGCGCAGTTTGGCGACGGGTGATCGGATTCTGGGATGGTATTCTTCAGCAGTGGGGGGGCGAAGCTAAATTATCTGCAGTTCGTGTCCTGTGTTCGACCAACTCCTCTGGCCAAACAACAGGGCACCCAATTTTCCCAGCCATCGTTGAGCATTCATCCACTATACTGTAATAGCTCGCTTTTGTTCGTCGTCGTTTTCCTTGGGATGCTTCTTTTTTATATATGTTTCGTCGTTTGATTATGGCCGTGTCTACGTCGTCGTCGTCGTCGTCGTACCAGCCGTCGCCCTCTTACTGGAGATCGTGACGCACTTCGTCGTGTGGAAGGGCAAGCTGTGGTTCCGCTGCAGCCTCTTCGCGGTGGGGAAGGGCGAGGAAACCCCCTCCCCGGGGGGCGGATCCGAGGCCTCTGCCCCGGGGTACCCTTCCGGCGGAAGCCACCGCGGCCTCCTCGGTCACGCCAACGACACCGGCGGCGTGAAGGCGGAAATGCCCGGAGGTACGCCTTTGTGCCGCGGCTCGATTGCGGCCAGTGTGTTTAAGTATGAAGCCATATGATGAATTCGCGGACTTAATGTTACCGTGGATCCGGTGGAAGAGTATAGAAATACTTGGAATGACTACATGTTACGGAAAGCTGCGTGCCCCCCCCCCCCCCCTCCCCCCCCCCCCCCCCCCCCCCCTTTTTAAAAACCCACCACTTTTTTTAACCCCCCCTTTTCCCCCCCCCCCTAAACAAAAATCCCCCCCCTTTTCCCCCCAAATTATTTAAACCCCCCCCCCCTTTTTTTTTTTTTTTCCCCCCTTTTTTCCCCCCCAAAAAAATTTCCCCCCACACCCTCAAAAAAATTTTTTTTCCCCCCCCCCCAAAAAACCCCCCTTTCCCCCACCCTAAAATACACCTCCACCACCACCCTATTTCCTTCCAAAAAAAAAAAAAACCCCCCCCCCCCCCCCCCCCCCTTTTTCCCCCCTTTCCCCCAAAAAAAAAAAAAAAAAAAAAAAATTTTTTTTTCAAAAAAAACCCCCCCCCCCCCCCCCCCTCTCCCCTTCTTTTTTTCCCCCCCAACTTTTTTTTTTTTCCCCTTTTTTTTTTTTTAAAATTTTTTTTTTCC